CGAAGGAGCCCTGCTGGCGTCGGCCAGGATTAACGGCTCTGCTTCCTTCCCTCATTTCTCAATCCCTTTCCGCGTGGCGGCTTCGGTGGCTTGATTACACCCGCAGGAGGGGCGGTGGAGGAGGAGGAGGAAGAGGAGGAGGAGGAGGGAGAAGATGGCGGACGATCCCAGCGCTGCCGACAGGAACGTGGAGATCTGGAAGATCAAGAAGCTCATCAAGAGTCTCGAGGCGGCGCGCGGGTAAGGAGAGACCTTGGAGGCGGCGAAGGGGTTAGCGCTCACGTGTGCCGAGGGAGCAACCTTGCGTGCTGGGCCCAAAGGGGGGGAGTCGTTATGCGTGGTATGCCTCCCCACAAATTCCTCACCGCAGAAAACTGAAATGTCAGGGATGTTTCCCCTGGTCGCTCGTGTTCCAGCACAGAGGAGCGATAAGCGGTGTGTGATTCCTCACATGCTCAGTCCACAGTTGGAACACGAGGCTGAGTACTTTCGGTGAGTTAGGCCTTAAGTTTCTGGGGAGTGTGCTTTGCGAGGCCGGATCCATGTGGAGCCGTGAGTGCACGGAGAAGAAGCGTGTCAGGGAGAAACGGTTCCGGTGTTTGATACTTGTCCTCAGTTAGTGAGGGATTTTCTTCTCTTCGAATGGAGCGAGGTTCTCCATTACAGTACACGGGCCGCTTGCTGTCAGAGGTGGCACACCTGTGGTGCAGTTTGGCCACTTTCAGTAACAGTAAAACTGTAGTTCAGGCTAAGTCTGTAAGTAAAGGCCTCCATTTCACTTTTCCATACGCACATCCACTCTGATGGCTCCATTGTTGATTTCTGTGATGGTGGGCTACTAGTAGGACTAAGATAGAGGTACTGTTTTAAATGTGAAGGACATTTTGGGCACTTGTTCTAAATCCTGGAAATGAATTTCATAAAGCCCAGTATATATAATCACTTTTACTCCATTTAAAATGTTTGTATCTCTTGATAGTTTTTCTCTCCTCATCTCCCCTTGTCTTGTATTCCTCTGAACTTGTACTTCACTGTTGCCACAACAAACTGTTTTTATACTCAGAGTAAAATTTGTAGGTGGAGCAGCCCAATTTGGGTTTTGGTTTTTTTTTGGTCTTGTGTGTCTCAGCCTGGGATATTTGACTTTCAGTTGCATGCCAGAACTTGCCAGACAGTCATTGATAAAAAAGTGACCTAAGAAAAATGACATATGTTCATATAGATAAAGCACAACTTTTTAGTTATAAAAGTTCATCCCCTTCCCTTCTTGTTGACATTTTCCCAGTTTTCAAGTACGGAGGGTTGTCTACCTTATATTGTTGTTAGGGCCTTTTAAAGGAGGACAGCAGGCACAGGATGTTTTAGAGTTGACATGGTCAGCTGACCACCTGTCTTAGTGGCCTTCATTGGCTTCTCTTTTCCTAAGATCTTTTTCTGAAATTTTCCATCCGTTGAAGCAAGTAAGGGAATGTTTTTTGCTTTGTGCTGCCTGAGAAAGATAGCCTTTGTTGCTTTTCTGCCCTGTGTACATGAAGAATGTGTGACTGTTTTTACATTTGGTTGTTGAACTAACATCTATTCCTTGCAGTTGTGTAGAAGGCCTGTTATAAAAGACAGTGACTCTTTTCTCCCTTGAATCCTAGCTGTGTGCCAGGGATTTGGGGAAGGATATTAATTCAGTGAGTAGCTTGAAATAATGGCGTACTATAAAAGTCAGCCAAGATTTATGGACCTCAGCAAAAAAATATTGTATATATTAATGCTTCAAGTGCCAAAGGGACATGTTAATGTTGCTGAATGATTAGCTTCTCCAAGATTCATATGAAAGCTTAGCTGTGTTTTAAGTAATGACATTGATCTCAGGTTCTTAGTAATTTTTAGGAATGTGCAAAACTTACTGATTTGAGATTGGAACTTTCCAGACTCTGTTCTCCTTTTGGGGGGGAGGGGTTGATGGTTTCCAGAAGTAAACCCTCTAAACCAGAAGCTTTTTTGGGTGTTCCAGCCTCCAAACAGGTCTGTTTTGTCCAGAATGCTCTTTCTAGGACTCTTCAGTCACTTCCTGCATGTAGGATTTACTTCCAGAACAGCAGGGTCTGCAGGGTGTATGGAACGTTCTGGAATGTTCTGTTCCTCAATTGGTGAGTTTTGCACATCACTAATCATTTATCTCCCTTATAGATTTGTATATGATAGGCTTTAGGAAAAGATGCATGAAGAATGCTTGCTTCCTTTGTTTCATTAATCTCTAGTTAGTGTTTGATATGTGACTGGCCAGGCTAATGGTCATTCAGCTTAAGGATTGACTTAACAGAAAGTTACTAAAATTATCTCTGTATATTCACTGGAAATTATCAGCAGTATTGATTTTTTTTTTGTTTATCTTTATCCTTAATGCTTCTTAATTAAGTACTGTATTAGTTAAATACTCGTAAAGGGTCTTCTTCATGCGGGGGTTCAGTTTGCACATAATGGAAGCCATAGTATGCTTGATTTGCTTTTGGATGAGTTAGCCTACCCACTATGATTTAGTGTTGGTATGTGAACTAGGCCATTATGGCTTGTTCAACAACCAGCTGTGAAAAAGCTTAGCAAAGTACTACATATTGCTGTTCAACCAGTAGAATATTGATTACTGAGAGATCAAATTCCCCTTTCCTTACAGTTCTCTCTGAGCCTCCCTAAATCAGATCCAGTTTGTTTTATTGTGTTAGCACTTTACTGGGAATGGAAAAAGCAGTTGATTCCAATCCTTTTTGTCTCTCTTGGAGGGAAACACCTAAGTATACTAGAAATTCACATGCCGGAAAACTGTATTCTTTATTTCCAGTTAATTTTCTGCAGCCGTATATGTTTGCTATCCAACATATGGAAAGGATGAACAAAATTTGGACTTTTAATATATAGAGTTGACATTCTAATTCTGCTTTGCATGTTGTTTTCACCTTTCAATGTTTTCTATCTAAAACACTTTCCAAAAGTTGAAGAGTGTTGTGTAGATATATTGAGTTGTTTGAATCCTAGCCTTTCTGCTTAATTGCCAATATGAGAACTTAAGCAATGGCAGTTTCTTGAGTATACTTTTTAATTAGTAAAAAAAGACAGCAAGCACAACACAATTCAGAAAGCCTATTTATCATTGCTCATAATTATGTAGTATTTCAGGTTGTTGAGGCACCAATTGATATTTCTGGAGCTGGATAATTTACCTAGGAAGTAAGCTAATTTTCAAAAGCAGTAAGTTCAAAGTATTAATTGGAGTGATGACTTTATAGGTAAAATGCACTGAAGGACTTGAATTTGTGGCATATCTGAGGAAACAGCAGCTTACAAAGTGTTTTATTGGTCTTTCTTGTATAAACTACATCTTTCTTGGGCATAGTATTTTCTAACTTTTCTTCTTAAAAATCTTGATAGTGTCACTTTTTTTAAGTGTTAAAGTATATATAAAAGTATTATATTCTTTTTTGAAATACTTCATTAATACAAATATTTAATTAATAATTTCACATTTCAGTAGCATATATAGGTTTAGCTTTTGCTGAAAAAGATATGAAAAATAATGTATCCCAGCTGATGAATACTATTTTGTGTTTTGGGTCTGCTATTGTTCTCCTGCAAACATACCATGGTTGTAAAACCTCCTGGTGATACACTATCCTCATGAAGTGTTCACATCGTGTATATAAAACAGTGCTCAAATCTTGGGCAAGTTTAAAGGTAGCAGCTGGATGTTAAACCTTCAGTCTGTGGACTGGTTCATGTGGCCCCTTTGCTATAGTTTTGCTCAAGGTAGATACTAATGATGTTTGAGTTCTGCAACTTTTTAAATAAGGCCATGTGCAGGGATATCAGGATGCCTGTGCCTCTTTCTAATGAGTTGTGTGAGTTTTTCATATAACATTTTAGCTTTTAGGAACTGTGCTTACTGTTTTTAGATTTATGAGTGTTTCAGGCAACTGCATGATAAACTTGCAGCATCTAAGGCTTAACTAAGAATAGGCAAAGTTGAATATTCTGTCTTATGAGGAATACTTTTGTTTCCTTACCTTACATTTTTCTAGTGCCTAGCAACTTATTTTAGTGTATAGATTGGTGCAGAGTGATCTCATAACAGGCTGCATTGCTAAGTGGAGCTTTTTATTAAATGAAAGAGTATTATAACTGAGTAGAGATTCCTGCTAATCTGCTTTATGAAATCATTTACTCCAAATAGCTCAAAGCAGTTTTCAGTAGTGCTTTAGCTTATATAAGAAAGAACTCCTAACTGTCAACAGTATTTTCTCTAGCTGTATCCTGAATATCAGATTTGTGACTTCATTGAGGATCTCCAAACCCAGGGATCAGCTAGGAAGAAAGGAGAAATAATAATAAAGTAGAAAGAGAAAAACTTCCACAAGCAAGTGCTGCTTGTGATGAATCTTTTGGATGTAGATTACTTTTATATGTGTGTGTGTGAGAGAGTGGGGTATACACGCATACAAACATGTACACACCTGTAGGTTATGGCAATATAATTTAAGCCTACAGCGATATGAATTTTCTGGAGAATTTTAAATTGGAAAACTTTTCAATATCCTTAATTGGCTGAAAACTGTTGTAGAATATCTGCATTTAGAACTTAATTTCCTCTTCTCCTTCCTCATTGTTATTTACAAATGAATAGTAAGCGTGTGTATGAAAGGGAAGGAAACAAAAATTATCTATATGGAATAATTGAAGAAAAGGGAATTATATTTGTTGAACTATCTCATCTCACCAGTATCTTTTCACTATGCTTATAAACAGTATTTTCAGGGGCCACATACACATACCTTTTTCTTTTCAGTCATTATGAACACTTTCCATCCCACCTTGAGGCTGCAGAAACCAGGAAAACAAGTTACTGTTCAGCGTTATCAGTATATATGTGTTACAGTATTCAGTTTTAGCTTTAGTCAGTAACTTTAAGCAGTTCCCCTATCTAAAAATATAATGGAGTGGCTTTGAACTGCTTTGAATCCTAGATTAATCATTTTGGGGTTAAAATTGAGTGAAGCTAAATGGAAAATTAAACAAATAAAGTCTTGAATTTCTGAAACTAGCTAACAATTTTTTATAAATTAATTTTTGCCTGCTGGTTAGTAGTTACCTCTCCTACATTTATAGAATGAGGAAATAATGGCTTTTAAAAAGCAAAATTCTATAATGGTGGAATCCCAAAGAGAACTGCCAGAGAGCAAATTATTGTTGCAGGAATA